ATTTTATACCAAATTTATAATTGCAAAGATTCAATTCAAACTTATATTTTGCGAAATTCCGAAACAATCTGGGATAAAAAAGGCAAATCTGGACTAACCGGGACGTATGGTTATCTTATCATATAGTATATTAATTTTTATTTAAAAAATATAGAATATAAAAATAAATGCTGTAGGTGGCTAAATGCTCCATGTAAGCGAGGCAAATAAAATTTTAAAAAATATTAAAAAATCAATTTTTGCTCGAATATTCTGTAATAACAAATTTTGGCAATTTAGTGTGATTTAAAGCAGTTTTTGACTGAATTTTTTTATTGCTCAATTTTATGAATAGTAAAAAATTTATTTCAATTTCAATTAGTAGAACAAAAAAACAATAGTTGATCTCGATTAAATAACTTTGAAAATGACCATTCATGCATTATTTTCACATACGAGAATATAAATATTTTCATGAAAGTGAAAGAAAAAAAGTTTGAATAAATAAAAATAATATATTTTTAAATCAAAAACTTTTTACTTTTAATTAAAACATAAAAAATTAGATACATACATAGAAACATACTTGTTACTGTCAATTTTAGTCCTAAAAACAATTAAACAAAACCCCGAGTTCATTCTATTCAGAATAATTTTAATTAATTAATTTCAAATATTTAATTATTTTTTGGTTTAATGAAATATGATTGCTAAAAGCTGAGGACGTCTATCGATTTTTATTTAGCAGTGTCCTTTGTTTACTCACAAAATTTTCCTAAATAGAAAATTCTCTCTCACTTGCAACCGAACTAGGCTTAATCGTTTTTAAAGGGTGATATGATAATTCTGAAAATTTATTTGTGGCTTGTAGGGCTAAAAACTCCTTTTTCAAAGTTTGAAGAGAGCAATTCGCTCCTTCAACAAACATTGATATAATAATCTAAATTAATATATACATTAGATAAAAGATAACACAGAATCTTTCTGGGAAGTATAACAGACCTATATAATTCCAAATTTTATCGAACCGATATGAGTCCATGTTTGAAAACGCTAGCTTCTATCTAGTATATTTGTCATCTGCATAAAAAACCGGGTTTCAAATTTTATAATTTTTGTCAAAAAGCCGATTTTTAAAAACCCTACAAGCAACTCAACCAACAACATATTTCTGTAAGTTTGATTTATGAAAGCTAGAATAAATAATTATTTTCTCAACTGTAGTCAAGTAGATAGTTTATGAACTTCAAAATGTTAGAATGTTAGAATTTACATAATATTGTTGTTTCATAACTTTATTATTAAAAAGATAACTTATCATTTCAATAACAAGAAACTGATCGGGCATGGATTTTACCGAATTCTCTCGAATTGAAAACCAAATAGTCTAAAATTATCCAAAGTGCGTCACCCAGACAAGGGCGCGACCTTTCGTCGCCCGCGACCGGAGCTTTCTTGTTAATATCAACAGATTATAGAAACTTGCTCATAAAAAATGCTGGCACGTTTACTAAACCCCTCTAAGCAATTTTTGCAGTATCGGAGGTCAAAATGCTGAAAATATAACAATTTTAATCAACAACTACACATATACTTTGCACAGCTTTTATCAAATTGCAGATGTCAAACGGGTCACCGGCTATACGATATGACTTGGTTAATTGGAAAAAAATATTGTTGCTTAAGATAAAGAAATTTCAAAGAGTTTTTATGGAAATATGAGAGAATAATGCATGTCTATATACATATTGTGTTATGAAGATAAGCTTTCTTTTGTCCATTTAATTCGTTTATAACTAATTTATGTTTGATTTTTGTTTCAGCTAAATGCAGCACAGGATGCACTAGTTGTAAGTATTAAATTAAAATAATATATTTTAATATTATAGTAGTTAGAGCACATATCATTCTCAAAGAATATATTTTAAATTAATTTTTATCAGTTTTTATCAAATAATTTGATATAATAATTAAGTCTTATGAAATGATGATGCCTTATTATTTTCAATAAAATTGCCCTTGGCTGCACAATGCTGCTTATATTTTGACTTTGAGACAAAAGTTAATTAAATGAAAATACTGGAATAAACAAGTTTAAATTTATGTTTTAGACAGCGCCGTTTACAAATTTCTTCTAACGATAAGTATCAGTATTTTCAATACAACTATGTTATATAATTAACATATAACGTTCCATCAACATTTTAATTTGATTCTTTATAAAACATTTATAATTCGATTTGTTTGAAAAAGCCGTAAATATTACATTATTAAAAAAAATATGATGATGATGATTCAAAGCACACAAATACATTCAACACAAATACATATTTTTTATGTTGTTTTTTAACAGTTAATAGTATTTTTGGTATAATAAGAAATTTTGAAATTTTATTTTGATAGTACAAATATAAACTAGTTGGTATTGGTATTTTGCCTTGTGGCAAGTTACATGAACTTTCCGATATGTGTAAATAATCGACTTAATCAATAAAATATAAATTATTTTATGAGTGAATAAAAGTATTTCGAGTGAATTTATTACACATCTTCGAAAACGAACGAACACGTTAACTCGGAGTATTTTCTTAAAGCAAATTTTCTAAAATCAATAATTTTTATAATTGAACCAGTTTTCATTGGACTTTAATGGTTTAGGATATTCATTAAGACGAAGTATTTTATCATTATACCAAGTAAATCGTATAATTTTAATTTTCACAAACGTCAAAAAAACTACTCATTTTCTCAAACTTTGATAAATTTTTAAAATTAAACTACTTGTCGTAAGGCCGTTATATTTCAGTATGTTCTATAAGACCATGATATATATAGCCAGAAAAAGTTCCATAAAAATCGCCTTATTTTTTTTTTCAACAGTTCAAGAAAACGGCTCGGTAGATTTTCACCTAAAACTAATCAGTATTTTTTCCAAATAATATATTTCGTACAGTTTTTGATTTTTTAAAATCGATTCGGCAGTAATAGTTTAAATGTGGACGAAAAGTTTAACACTTTTTTCCAAATTACAAAGAAAACGGCTTGAGCGATCGTCGCACAAAACTGAGAAATGCTAGTCCTCATCGAGATACATCGAATGGCTTTTAAATTGTTGTAATCGGTCCAGTCGTTTTTGAGAAATCACACACACACATACTTTTTTCAAATTGGGTCTCATTCAATTCAGAATGGCTTGAAACGTCGAGAAAACATAAAATTAGCGAATAGGATTTTTTGATGAAAACATAAACTTCTCCTTCGGGAAGTTAATAAAAAAATCTTTACAAATTTTGTTTGCATTTCTATGGGTTCAGTACCAAGATTATAGAATGTTTGATCACGCTTACGTGCTTCGATATTTCATTTCTAAAATAGCTATGCAACAATTGTATGCTTTGAAAAAAATACAACATTTGCAAAAAATTTTAAAATATAAGTAAAATCGAATTTTTCAAAAAAAAAAACATTCTCAAAAATCAAATGTTTATAAAGTTTTCAAAAAATTGTAAAGTTTTTAAAAATTTTAAAATATGGTATGGAAAGTTCCAACAATTTGCCTTAAGACACGATACCATGCAACCACTAGTTTAAAATTTCATTATGTGAATAATGAATATGATATAATAACTGAGTATTATGTTAATAAACCAATTCATGTTAACTTAAATAGTCAATGTCGAGATTATTATGCATTACATTTTTTCCATAAACAATACTTGTAGAATTTAAAAACGAAAGAAATAAAATAAACGTATCACATTAATTTGTACAATTTTAAACGTCATATTCTGAATTTCATGTCTCATTGAATAAATGTTAAAAAATTAGTTTAAAGGGCGTTACCTTTATTCGTGAGTCTTGGAGCAATTTATGTTGTGTTCTAAACAAAAAATTTAAACTAGAGTTGAATTTCCCAGAAAATTCATGCAACTTGTCAAACAATTAGTTTTATCAGAGATCAGAACCAACGCATCCTATGAGCTAAGAAGGCTTCATAGATGACTTACAATCGTTGCGACTAAGCTCGCGTTTCGTGGTACAGCGTTTTTTTATAAGTATATATACCGATTATTTTAATTAATTGGTGGATGGCTAAAGAGTCTGGCGCTTCTTGGGGCAGAAGTAGGAGATATCGACCAATGCGACTCTCATGATTGATGGGGACCTAAATGCGGGTCTTCATAGAGACGATTGGCCGATATCCACCGCTTCTCAAAATGCAACTGAGGGGCTTGCATTGAATGTGAGCCCCTCTGAGACTGTCTTCAGTTCTCCAAATGACCACAGAAGCAATGTTGACTCTTTTTGGACTTAATAATAAGTTAAATTTAATTATGAATCTACTTTTAATTCCTATTAAAATGATTGATTATTGACTATTGCCATCAAATTAGTGTTATTTTTGGTAATTTGAAGGGCCTTTAAAAAAATAATAGCTTACTAGCAACCAAAATAAAATATAAATTTATTGGGCACATTTAAGACTGTATATGTAACCATAATTTATAATTATTTTCAAATGTTTCAAAATGTGTTATTTTTTCAGCGAGTTCACTGTTCTCATATCAAGTAGGACATACATACGAATATGCCTTAGACAGTACACTATCAGTATTATTATCCGGAGGCGATACTCAGGAAACATCCCTCAAAATCCATGGTACCGTTCTGCTGAGCCAGTTGCCGAATTGCGACCAACTTCTGCGATTGCAGAATGTCGTCATTCAGTCGCCGGACAACAAGGTAAATTATAATTTTTAATCAAATTTTGTTTATTGAGCTTTGGAAATTGAATAACGCAATGTGGGCTTTTCCGTGGATTATCGTCTAGAGCTTTATGACGTAGATTTTTACTTAAAAATATAGATAGCAATATGTTTTCAAGTAAAAAATAGTCCTTCTTTGGCATTATTGCATTAACTTAAACTATTTAAAAATTTCTTGTAACAAAATACATAAAATGGGAGTGGGTCTATCGTTGAGTTGGTTGAGGTTCAGAAACAAACACGTAGTTTAGAAAATTACTAAAACGGCTTATAGAATTCGTTTAAATAAATAATAATAAATGTGTATTTTTTAATTCCCGTAGGGCAAGTTATAGTAATCGCAAAAAAATCGAAAATGAAAATTTTTATAGATCTTTACGTTTCAAAACCTTCTGAACATTTTGGCATACCTTAGAAAAAATGGATGTATGTGTGTGTGTATGTGTGTGCGTGTATGTATGTATGTTCGGATACAAATTTTCGTCGACGATTTCGGGAACACGGATCAATTTGAATAACTCAAAAAACATTCGATTCTTATTGATAAGGAGACGTGCTGATTAGTTTTTGGCGAAGGCAGGTCTAGCCGTTCCGAAAATACGGGGCAAAAAGTGCCGAAAACGGTAACTCAGTTTTTAAGAGAACGGAGCGTCCGATTTGAATAATTCAAGAAACATTTTATTTGTATTGACTAAATGAAGAACTGTTCAAAAGGAAAGGCAGATCCAACGACTTTGGAGATACGGATGAAAAAGTAATAAAATGAGCCATTTGGCGGTCAAAAATGAACATTAGACATATGCACATCAAATTATCAGATATTTTATAGAGATTTTAACAATAAGTATAAATTTTGTTTATATTCCTATGGGTTCCGTACGAATGTTTACGCGTTAGACGGCGACGCGGCGCTTACGCGCTTTGATATTTCGTCTTTATGCAGTTAAAGCAGTACGATTGTTTTGAAAAAAGGTCAGAATTTCCAAAATATGTCAAAATAAATGATATAAGATAGAATGATTTAATATGGTTCAAAATTCTATTAAAAGTTTCAAATCATTGATCAACTTTTATTGATTATTATTATTGATTATTTTTAATTACTCGAATTTTGAATTGCGGTACGGGAAGTTCCAGCAATTTGCCTTAAGGCACGATGCCCTAATTGCCTTAAGACAGAATTTTACTTACAGCTAGTTTACTTCTATATTTATCGATTATTTTGATTAACTATTTATAGAATAATAAATTACAATAAAATTACAATAAAAAGCTATCGATAAATGAAATTTTTTTAAACTTAGAAATATGTAAATTATTTTGTATAGTTTAATTACTAATTTATATATAAAAACAAACGGAATATAAATATAAATATTATAAAATATTGTATAATATAATACAGTACAAATGAAAAGAGAGATTTAAAATTTTTTACATGATGATTATATTGTATTGTAAGTTACGATATTCATAGTTTTATCTTCTAGAAGACAAATATCCGCATACAAAAATGCTAAAAAATAATATTAAAATATTGTAATAAAAGTAGTAACCTTTCATAAAATTCATTTTTTTGCACCTGCCTACGCCGAAGTAGAACGTGTGACACCATCATATAGACATTTTGAATACAAATAAAAAAAGATCAATTTAAACGATCGCAAATCAGCACGCATTCATTACATACAATTTGAACAAACAGTGTAATTCACTTCTAATTAAAGCATTATAATCAAGAGGATGATAGAGTCTCAAAGTCTATCAGCTCCTTCAGATAATCATACAACCAACAATATCTATGTAAAGATTAATCTTTCAGATAATCATACAAAACAATATCTATGTAAAACATTAGAATATAGGTAATAACAAAAAATTAATATTTCACGAATTTCTTATAATAAATCATTTATCCGTGCAGAAACACCCGGGCCTTGAAGATATCACCAAGCCCGTAAGGTTCAACTTCAACGATGGTAAAGTTGATACCCAAATTTGTGCCGAACCAGGAGACAACCAGAATTCTTTGAACATCAAGAGAGCTATTATTAGTTTGTTCCAAGCATCTCGAGGACCAACTGAAACTGATGTTTTCGGCGTATGTCCAACTCACACGTCAACCTCCAAAAATGGTCCTGAATATATCGTCACAAAAACACGTTCACTTAATGATTGTGCCCACAGAGAGAGCATTCAACAAGGGTTCCTTACAACTACCTTCAACGACAACTCAGTAAGTATTTGAAAAAAAAAGATGAAAATACATGTTATTTTAAGGGTTACACCACTGTAAATTTTTCGAAAAACCAAAAAAAATTTTTTAGGGTTATAATATACTTTGAACCTTTGAAATATGAGGAAAAATACTTCATACCTAAAACTTTCTTTTTTTTGCATGTAATTATGAGCTTTTTTCTATGCGCGTCGAACTGCTCCGAACCGACACCGCTTAAATATATTAACAAAAAACATTATAATGCAAAATGACAACATGCATCTTTTTAAATATACTAAAATATATTATTACAAAGCATTTATATTGTTGACCTCTAAAAGTCTTATTAACCAATAGATGATCAGTGCAGAGTCAACACATATATAAATTGACTATATTGCGGCTGATATTACGGGAGATAATTTCAACGATGGTCTAATCAATATTTTCTAAATGATAATAGTTTTGGAGATTAATATTGGCATTTAAACATATAATTTTTGTCTAGAAGTTGATTATAAACGTCTTAAGCATTCCAAACGGTCTTTGAGGGATGCGCCAAAAGTAGGATGCTTCATGCTTCAAAATCATCATGAAAAAAAATAAGAAAAAAAAAAAATGAACATAACAAAGCATCTGTATATTGCTGGGATATTATATTAATAGTAAAAAAAATTAAAGTGACAAATTTTTAATATTTTTTTATCTATAATTTATTTTAGAACTTTAAACGCGTTTTCTCGAAACACGATTTTTCAACGCGGCACGCTAAATAACTACAACAATTTAAATTTTTATCATTCGAATTTTTCACAGTATATTTATAATTTTTACATTTTTAAGTGCGCATTATAGCGGATTTTTTATATGTTGATTGGTTCATTAATTATTAAAAAATTACTATCCGTTTTTTTGTTGGAATTTAACAATTTTGAATTGAAGTTCTCGTCAAGTTCTCTTCCAATTTGACGCGGTTTGCCGATATGGCTGTGATTCCGCCGTTTTTTATTTTTGTTTCTACAATTATATTTTATTTAGTTACTTTAAAGTACAATTAATAACTAATTTTAAATTTATGATTTAATTAATTTTCCTTCCGCACGAAAAGAAATGGCAAAAATGTATGTTTTTTTTGCTGCTACAGTGGTTTAACCTATTAATGATTATTGTCTTAATAATTAAAATACGTCAAATAAGTCTGAAATTATGTGCATAAATTGTAGGTTTTTTATTTTTTAAATTAACTTGACTGCGAATAGTCCTTTTTGCATTCAAAAATATTATATACGAATATACAGATGAATATATAAATAATACAAACAAGTGAAGCAAACAAGCATTAATGATTCGAGTCATATCAATTAAAATAAAACAAATTAAAAATTTCCATATTGAACTATTGATAGTGGTCAAGTGATAACACTATCTCTAATACAATGTAAATATTATGCTAACATCTGTCAGGTTGAGGGTTCACGGCTATTTCAATACTTACATCTTGGCACTGAATTTCTTAATACATAACAAATTTGAGAAAAAAATCTTAGATATTTGTAGACTTTGTAATATCGAATTTACAGAAATTTCTTTACAATAAATAATTTGGATAAAAAATTACATTTTTGTTAGATTTATATAAATACAAGCATTAAATACTATTTATTTTTCGAATAGGCTATAAAATCCACTCCACTTTTGAGTGGCGAATATAGCAGCGAACAAAAATTCAAAGATGGAATTTTGGAAAAAGTCCATGTTACTGAAAACTACCACTACAGACCATTCTCCCCTGGCCGTGGAGGCGCCAAGTCTCATGTTGTCACCCGTCTTACTTTCCAAAAGAAATCAGCCGAAGCACCAGGAAGTCAAGTTAGCAAACCACGCACTATCATATTCGAAAATCCTCATCTTGTTCCAGTAGGAACTAACTCTGATAACATCGTAAATGTTTTGAAACAAACCGTGAAACATATTGAAAACCATGTCAACAGCGCTTCTGCTCGAGATTTTACCGACTTGATCCGTGTATTGAGGGTCAGCAATAAGGCTGATATGCTTAATGTTTATGGACAAGTAAACTCAGGAGCTGGTTTCAAGGACAAGGAAACAGCCAAGTTAGTTATTATTGATTTTATCATTTGCTAGTTCCCTAAAACGAATAATCTATTTATTTTATCTTTAATACTAATCAAGAATTACCAAACTAAAAATGAACTTAAAAATATCAATACCATTGAAAACTACATCAATTTTTTAAAATCCATTCATTTTATATTAAATTTCTTTTTTATTTTTATATTATATTTTATTATTTTATATCTTCCCAGAAAAGTATTTTTGGATGCTTTGTTCCGTACCGGTACTGGAGATTCCGTAGAAGTCGTCGTAGAATTAATCCTTCACAAGAGATTATCAGACAAAGAGCAAAAATTGGCTTATTTGAGTTTTGCCAACGCAAAACATGTCACCGCCCCTTCATTGAACGCAGTTGCTGTAAGTTAACATTTAATTTCAAAACATTTTAGTAGCAGCCTATTATAATGTAAAAATTATAGGACTTGTTGGAAAAATCGGCACCTAGAGAAGCTTTACTCGGAATTGGTATTTTGGCTGGACACTATTGCCGCGAACATAGCTGTTCAGGAAATGAGTTACAGAAGCTCAGTGACTCTTTTGCCAAAAAACTGGGTAATTGCGCTGCAGGATCAAGACATGAAGAGGATGTGGTAATTTAAACAAATATTTGTTTATACATAATAATTTAAATCAATCTTAATGGAAATTATGTGCAGATACCATTAGATTTGATTTTCTGATATCATAAATTTTCTGATATCACTTTTAAGTTCAAAATATATTGTTACGTATAAATTTTTTTATGCTCAGACTTTATTCTTACGTAGGTTTTGGCAGCCCTTAAAGGTTTACGCAACATGCATCGATTGGCAAGCTCTGCAGTTGACAAAGTGTCCCATTGTATTAAATCTGAAAATACACCAGTAAGGATACGTGTCGCCGCCCTTGAGACAGTGCAAGGGGCCGCTTGCGAGAAAAAAGTAAATAATTTTACATTTAAACATTTTTTGTATGACACACCTAAAACAACATCATTTTCTTATTTTACAGTTGATGAAAGAAGCATTAGCCATTTTGCAAAACAGAGACTTGGATTCAGAATTGAGAATTGAAGCATACTTGGCTTTGGTACAATGCCCAACTGCCCAATTTGCAAACGAGTTGAAAAACTTATTGGATACTGAAACGGTCAACCAAGGTAATATTTTTAATGATTTGAATGTATTAGTTGCAAATTAAATGTTGCATTTTTATAATTAAATTATAATTTTATATATTTTTTACAGTTGGATCCTTCATATATACGCACTTAAATAACCTTAGAGCATCAACCAACCCACACAGAGAATTGGCAAGACAACACTTGGGTCTGATACATTCCTCTAAAAAATTCCCAATCGACTTCAGGTAAATATATATTTTATCGTTTTAATCGTCAAAATACGATATATTTTTCTTAGATTATAAAACTTATTATATTTATTACAGACGCTACTCATCAAATAGCGAGTTCTCCTATTCCATGGATTCTCTTGGTTTGGGTGCCAGTGTTGAAAACAATGTGATTTATTCCCAAAAGAGTTTCTTGCCCAGATCAGCAAGCTTGAATTTAACTGGAGAATTATTCGGCCACAGTTTTAACTTGTTAGAATTATCTGCTCGCCAAGAAAATTTGGACCTAGTTATCGAGCATTACTTTGGACCTAAAGGAGTATTTAGTGGATCATCACCACAAGAAGTTTTTGACAAAGCTAAGTCCACTGTTGAGGAATTGCGCCATGAATATAAATCTCGCTTAGATAGCGCAGGAAGAGGCAAGCGTTCCACTCGCCAAGAAGTTGAAGCTTTCCAAAGCAAAAACACGGAAAAATACAATTCGAAATTGGATTTGGATTTAGACATCAAAATGTTTGGATCTGAACTCTTTTTCTTGAGTTTAGGTGATAAAGCTTCTCATTTCAGTCCCAAGGCTTTAATAAACGAAATTTTCGACCATCTTGAAAAAGGAGTTAATAGCATCAGAAACTTCAAAGTAAGTACAGAAAAATTAATAAATTATTTTTGCTTATAGTATGGCAAATAATTTACAGTATTATAATCATTACAGCACAACTGCCACGGCAATGTTATGTTCTTGGACGTCGAAGTTGCATATCCTACAAACGTTGGAATTCCCCTGAAAGTCAGTGTTACAGGTACTGGAACCATGAAGTTGGAAACCAGTGGACATATTGATCTCGACAGAATAATAAAAGATCCTAAGAACGCCAAATTTAAATTGCTCTTCGTACCAAGGTAACACTATATATATATATATATATATATATATATATATATATATATATATATATATATATACGATATATATATGTATCAGCAAATATCTTTCGTTATAGCGCTAACATTGAAATCATTGGAGCTTTGTCTGTTGATGCTCAAGTAGTGAGCACTGGTTTAGAAGTCGTAGGTAACTTGCATTCATCAACCGGAACCGACATTCAATTCAATATGTTGAACAATGGCAATGGAATTGACGTTAAAGTTGGATTGCCCATAGAGAAACAAGAAATCTTCAGTGTCAGTCACAAAGTATTATTCTCAACCCAAGAAAGAGGTCACCCAGCTCACCTAACACCTTTGAAGTTCAACGTTAACAAGTAAGTAAATTTAAAAGACAATTTAATTTCAAATTATTTTATTATCCAATAAAAACTATAATAATGAATGGAATTTAGGAAAGCCTACCACGGTTGCTTTGACCAATTAAGTCCGTACGTTGGATTAACTTTCTGTGGAGATGCTGATATTTCTTTGTCTTTGCCAACTGAAGGTGGTCTCGCCTTCCCATTCAATGGACCAAGCACACTATCATTACGTATTGAAAAAGAAGATCTGCACCAATACCATTTCAGACTTCTTAAAAACTTTGACGGTACTAGTATTTTGAAAGTTCTACGATTTTCAGAAATTTTATACGTTTTATCATATTTTTAAATTAAATTTATATTCACAGATCCTAAACATCGCACTTTGGAATTATTATTTGATACACCTAACTCCAAAACTAAAAGAACCATTTCATTCAATGTTGATGCCATGATGGAACCCCATAAAGTTTTGAAGGTAACTTTGAACTCCCCAATTAGAAATGCTGCACTAGAAGCTAAAGTTCTCGAAGGAGACAAAGAAGTTGGTGTTTCTGTGTCATTAAGAAATGGCGAAGAAGAATACTACGCCAAGGTTGGAGCTGAAACTTCTGGTCCATCTAACAAGAAGGCTTACAGACCACTCGTGGAATTCAGAGCTCCACAAGCTGGCGGAGATTCCAAATATAAAGTTGACGGTAAAAATAACTATACAAAAGACACTCATTGTTTATATAAATATATTATATATATATAAATATATATATATATATATATATATATATATATATATATGTATAATATATAATATCTTATAATTGTATACTGTATATTGTATATATAATTGTAACCTGTGAATAGGTCAAATTGTCGTCGAGCGAGGAGATGGCTGGTCAAAATACCACTTCGAGGGAATTCAAGTTGCTATTCCTGGACAAAACGCTCCTCTTCGTGTAGAAGGTTATATGGGTCACAAAGGAAAACAAGCAATAGACGGAAACCTTAAAGTTTCACACGTATGCTAAATTTAGTTATATATAATAAATTAAAAAGATCACTATCATTTGAAATTGTAATCACTTTTTTTGTTAATTACAGGAAAATAAGTTTGTTAGTGCTAAGGGTAAATTAGAACTGTTCGAAGGATTAAATGGTAAAATAACTGATTTCGAAGTACATAATTCATTCAATCCACATTTAGATTTCCGTGTAAACTATGATTACGGAAAAAAAGAAGATGAGGTAAAAAATAAGAGAAAAAAACAAATGTAATTCGTTGATATTTATTATTAATTCAATAAATTTCAGCTCAAACACCATTTGGTATTAACTCATGGAACTGATCTTAACTCTAAAGAAAATCGTTTAGAATTAGAACAACAACTTAAATATAAAGATGTAGGAAATCCTAACTTCGACGTTTCTGCAAGAAATATCCGTAAGTTTAATATGAAAAAGCAATTATTAATTGTTGATGTAATAAGTGTTGTACATAACGAAAATATTTTTGAGTAGTTACTTACCCAATGGCCAAACTCAATGTTAAATTGGATGGAGCTGTTTCTAAAAAGAAGGCTGAATATAAATTAGAGGCTACAGATGATAAGTCAAAATTATACTCTCATCTTAAGGCATTAGTGAATAATAAACATAAAGGAGATTATGACCTTGATTTTAAGGTAATTTACTTATTTTATATAAAATATAATAAATTGACATAAAATATAAGGACATTTTTCCTAAAACTCGTATTTTATTATAGGGCCAGCTTAACGAGCACTATTTGGTAGTGAAATCAAAACGTAATGTTGTCGACGATATTAAATCTACATACCATTTAAATATGGACACTAGCAATGGTGGCAAATTAGACATAAATGGCAAAGTCACTTTTAATTCTCCTAAAGATTACGAAACTGCTTTCAAAGGAATTTTGAAAGTCCCAGGCAAACCAAACACCTATGACGCAGACTACGCTACTCAATTTAATGACAGAAAAGCAAAATCTCACTTGAAAATAACAGCCGATAATGCTCCAGTAGTTGACGTTGATGTTGACGTTGATCGTGTCCCCGATTCAAAGGGAACTTTCAGGGTAAATATTATAATTTAAAATTATATAAAAAGTATGGTAGTGAATTTAAAGTATAATTCAAATATTTTATCCAGTTTAACGTAAAAGATCTTGTGAACGCCAAGTCCGAATTTACTAGTTCTCAAGGTAAAGGATCAGGATCAGCACTTGTGGAGCTCGTAAAATTGAACAGAAAATTCAAAGGAGATGCCACATTCAATATTGCTTCCCCAGTTTTCAACTTCGATGGTAATCTATTCTATGACGCCGACAAAGACAACTCTAAGAAAATTCATTTGTTCACTAACAATGAATTGGGCAAAGGATTAAAATCCAGGTTTTTATCGTGCAATTTATTTATACAAATCTATTTAAGTATATAAAGATAACTAATATTATTTCTATAGCAACGTTCTTGAAGTTGGACAGTATGTTACAAAACTTAACTTCAATGGAGAAAAAACTGGTAACTTTTTCACTGGTACTATGAAGGGTCAATATGATTTGACATTACCAAATGGTTTCTACTTTGACGGAAAACTATTCCGAGATGTCAAACATGACGGTAAATCAACTAACGGCGAAGCCGAAGTCAGTTTATCCTTTGCCGAGAAAAAGGGAGCCGAGCCTTACAAATATGAAGGAAAAGCTAAAATTACCATTGATGACATTACAAAATATTTGTTTGATTACAATGCTCAAGTCCAATTAAGTGGCAATAGCAAAAAGTATTTGGAATATAAAGGCGCTTTCAAACACGCAATGGCAGGAGGTCATGGATACAAATTTGATGGAGCTGTGAGTTACTTGTTACTTAACTAAAGTTCATTTTCATTGGACAGAATAATAAAAATTATTTATTACAGATATTTTTGGATGGAACCTTTGTTTTAAAACCAATCAATTATAAAACAAGTGCTGAATATGGACCAGAGAAATTGAAATATACTGTTGATGGCAAATATGGCGACTCTTGTCGTTTATCTGTTAATGGAGATTTAGCAAAATCAGAAGATGGAGCTTCAAACAAATTCTTTATGCAAGGTGATTTCAATAATGAACAATTCAAACACTTTAAACTTGAACACGATGGTTCTGTAAAACGACCCAGAGGAGATCATGATGATTATGAGGTATAAATTTAAATTCAAATCAACATTTATAAGAATATCAGAATTATATACGTTATATTATCTATTACAGTTCAAAGTTTTTAATGCTGCTACATTAAACGACAAAACTATTAAGGGTAATGGCGAATTAAGAGGTAATAAGAACAAAGGCTCTGCTAAAGTTACTGTTGAATTACCAAATGAAGCTCCATTTAGCATCGGTACTACCTACGAGCATAATGACAAAAAAGGTATATAATGAAAAATTTTAATAAAATATTTAATTAATGTAATGATAAATTTGTTATAACAATCCAAAAAACAATTTTTGCAGATGTCAAACAATGTAAAGTTGGCTTAGATGTAGTTTATGCACAAGGTAAGGAAGTCAAGATGAACGCACTCGTCAACTTTGTTCCTGGAACCGATTTAGATGTACACCTGACCGTATCTACACCTGTAGATAATGCCCGCAACATTGATCTCAAGCTCTTACATAAAGTAAGTATTATATGCTGCTAATTTTATTGATATGCAATAGAAATTATTCAAACTCATTTTACCATGTTTCTACAGAAACAAAAGGAGAGCAAAGCCACGCATACTGAAATCAGTTTGCAGGCTGATCAAAGAAAATACGGAGCAGTTGTTGACTTAGACTTGATTGAAACTGCGCCATCTTTAGATGTCAAATTTGTTTATCCAGATGGCAAAAAATCTCGATTCATATCTAAATTTGAACGTTTGGGCGAAAGAAAAGTAAATGGCGAGCTTAAAATCGAACAAGTTTATGACTTCAATTTACACGCCACTGGAGACGCAGATTGTGAGGACGTAGAAAAATGCTTGATTAGGGTAAGGATTTTAGGTTTTTTACTAATTGCCTTATAAAACGCTATTTGTTATTTAAATTATTTTATATATCTTTATTTATGTAATACAACATTTGTAATTTAGGTACATGTTGACTCACCAAAGTTGAACTTGAATGATATACATTTGACAATTGAAAGTAAAAAAGGAGGCTCGGGTAACATCGTTGAAGTTTCTGCTAAATCTGGCGATAAAAACATTGTGAGTGGTTCAACTACATTCCAAAAGAAACAAGAGCAAGGCAAATATATAGTTGAAGGATCTGGAACCGTTACAGTAAAAGAAACACCCCACTCTGCTAATTTCAAGTACATGTATAACAACGTCCGTGAAGATAATGAAAAGGGAGTACAGGTAAAATGTTGAACCAAACCGCTAAGAATAAATGTTTTACATAGTTTTTATTAAATTTTTTTATTTAAATGTTTCTTTTTAAATTAATAGATGGTTTTGAATGCGGGCTATGGACAAAAGAACGTTGTTGTAGATTTGAAACTTACCAACAAACAATTTAGAATGGCAAATTCATACTGTGAACCAAAACAAGAATGTGCACACATCGACTTGAGTTCTATTGTTAAAAATGAAGGTATGTTTTGTACATTCTATTAAAATTATTTATGAATTTTTAATGTTAATTAAATGCTTTAATGTCAAATTATAGATATTAACGTTTTGGACCATGAACTTGAAGTAAGCATCGATTTGCGCAAACTTGGTCTATCTCATGAGTTTGGATTGAAAGCTACCACACACTTACGTGATCTGGTTCTCGACCATACCGTTGATATGCACTTCCACTCGCAAGATAAAGCAAATACCAATATAGTGTATACGTACATCCCAAAAATGCTGGTGTCACTTTGACTCTACCACAGAGAGTTATTGCTCTTGAAGGAAATCTCGATATTCCACGACCTAACGCAATTGGTCCAGTGAATGGAGAACTTTCACTTTATCTGAATAAACTTAAAGACCCTAATCAAAAAACAAGCGTCATGCTCTCTGTTAACCCTACATATAGCAACCAAAAGGCAGCCGTACAAGCTTATCTTAAATTTATGCATCCTGGTGTTAAAACTATGCTAGTTAGTGGAAATGCAAACTTTGATGGTGCCGTACGTAATGGTGACTTCCATTTGAAATTAGATGTTTTTGCAACAACTGCTCAGAGCCTCGAAGTCCGAGGAGTATTAAATAGCCTCAACTTAGGCGATCGCGGTGTGAATGTAACTTCTGAATTGAACGTATTCAATAAGGTAATTAATAAATAACAAATTATCATATTTTTTACATAAATATAATAGAGCTCAAAATAATTATCTTAAAAAATATTTACAGGAACGTTCTCTTGACTTTGCTGTTAATCAACATTTTGCTGTAACTGACAAGGACTTCGGAATTGGTTCTATGCTTCAGTGTCGCCATGATCCAACTAAATCTGCTGGATTCCTTATTTCTGCCAATTTACATCAAGTTGAATTATTAGTACGTTCTCCTTATGGTGATTTGGTTCACGTCAACTCGAAATTAGATTTGAATGAGAAATATCAGAAGATTGACTCAGAAGTTACTACTATCGGTGTTCCTCCAATGAAATATACAATTGAAGCTAGCGACTTCAATACATTGAAGTACACTGCTGGTCGCCAAGGTAGAAGATTTACAATAAATGTAATAAATCAAATAAAATATATTTTTTATATATTTTAGATTCCCCACAAAAATACTTGCAATTCGTAAGCAGTCTTGTCCTCGGAAAAGCCGGTGAAGTTCGCGCTGAAGTAATTGACAACCGCAACCGTCGTGACTTGTTCCACAGCTCTGTACTTCTTGATGATGCTAATTTCTTGAAAACAGACTTTGGTGTTAATACCGAAAACATTAAAGCTCATTTGGTAAATATTTGTCCTAAATTTAACTAAAATTTTGGAATATGCTAATCTGTTGATAATTTTTAGGAAAATATTCGCGGTGAAGCTAAGCAAGCTGGCGAAAATCTGAAAAATACAATGAAAACTGCAGCTGACGATATCCAAGCTCGTGTACAGAGATTCACTGATACAGCCAAGAAATACGTACCTGACTTCAAACCATTAGCTGAAGATTATCAAAAACAACTTAACCAAATCAAAGAAGAATTGTTGGCAGATAAATCCATTAAAGAATTTGCTGAATTCTTGTGAGTAATTTTGAATATTTATCAACTATAATCAATCAATCAACAAATCATCATTTATTATATTTTATATTAGAAATAAGGTATTGGCGCTACATTCCAAGCTGTTGCTGACATCATGAAAAATGTTGGACAAAGACTCGAAAAGATCACGGAAATGATCAAAGAATTATATGAGAAAACAGCACACTTGTTAAATACTCAGGTACGTATTCAAAATTTAATTGATATTTTTTATTCAATACGTTTAATCAATTTTTATTGCTACAAACATCCAGATAATTCCGCAATTACGCGAATCCTACTTGAAAATTACCGCTGTTGCCACTGATTTCATGCAAACTCTCTTCAACTATGCCACTGAGTACTTAATGAAATTCACTGACTGGGTTAAGAGCCACCAGGAAGATTTCAACAAACTTGCAGCAACAGTATCTGATTTCTTAAAAGGTAACTATAACACACACACAAACACACATATATATATATATATATATATATATATATATATATATATATACATTTGAAACATATCTGCATTGGACTATTTGTATCAAACTAGTATTTTTATCAAACTTAATTAAATATAGTTTTATATGAACTTATCAGATCCTTAATATTTTGCAGATTTTGGTAAAATCGTCAACCGTGGACTTATTCAATTCAAACATGAACTAGAAGATTTCATTAAAGTCGCCTACGAGCAATTAAAATCAATTCCAGTTATCTCTACATTGAAAGAAAAATACGAAGAGGTAAGCCAATAATACATGACAATATGTATAAGTAATCACAAATTATAAATTAATCTAGTCTTCATTTTAACTTTCTTGATTGGAGTTTAATAAGCTCACAAACTTGAATCCAGTCAGAGATAGCTTTGTTTTATTTTTAATCATTTTAATTTTTCCAAGATGGTCGTTGGAGTGACTGTGACCTGAACAAGTTTACAGAATTTTAGCTGAGGTTGTTAGCACTGTAAATGATGTTTTACCAACCCCTGAACTACAAGCAGCTTTCCAACAAATATTCAATTACTTAGAGCAGGTAAATTTAGATCACTTAAAGCAACTAATTTGTTGATGCATTGTTATAGTATTTATTAATGTAAATTTATTAACGAAATTATTATTTCAGAAATTGAAACAAGAACCTGTAGATGATATTAAGCAATTGAAATCAATTTACGAATTACTTTTGAAGGCCGCCAAATCTTTGTTGAAACTTCTTCAAGATAACATGATTGCTGAACCACAAGTAGGAGGTTTCCTGGGATTACCTGTAAGTTTTCTATAATATTTTACTTCTGCGACTAGTAAAAGCTAATTTGAAATTTTAATTTATAGATTCCACTAACCTTCAGCGGTCTGCAAAAATTGCCCGATTTAACTTCATTGAGACTAAGTCCTCTCAACTTTTTGCGTGTACAACAAGATACCAACATTAGAAGACGTTCAAGCCATGGTTAAACCTTTAACTATGAATCCCATGTCATTATTGCCGCCATTCCCAAGTAAGATTAAGTCAAAATATGGTAAAATTATCTACGACTCAC